GTATGCATTTCAGGTTGTTTCCAACCAAAGCGTTTTAAACACTTATCTGCATGTTATCTGGACATCTAATTGACATCAATGCAAATGAAGGGGTTCTACTCACAGGCTCCCTCTGATTCATGTATTCGTTGTACTGAACATGCATCGATCTATTGTTCGTCTCCAATTACTTCATGTAATTAAATCTGACTGTGTGCGGTGTGTTCAGTGAACGTGGCCCTTTATGTAGTGGAAGGAAAACATGCAGGATGCAGGATCACACACAAGCAGACCGCTGTTAGTTCAACAACAAAGCATGCTGGTCAACAAGCGACCCGAAGGCAGGCGACAGAAACAAACCAGAGTGAAGAAAAACAGGAAAACAGATGAAAATCTTCACTGACTTGCCAGGGGGATCAGATACATAGAGGTTTGTTTGTTTGTTTGTTTTTCTGAATAATCCCCCAAATTTTTTTTTGCTCTTCTTATGTGTGATTATTAAAACTAAATTATTCCTACCCCTCAAACTTCTGGCACAGTTCTCAAAACTCCAGCATGTTTTATTTCGTTTTTGTGTCACGGACCAAACATGTGGCGCTCCATTTCCGCTCCTCCATTTAATATTTCATACGACAGTCATGGGCTCCTCTTCTTCTGGGGAGTGAGACTCCAGCAGCTTTTCACACCCAGACGCCTAAATTATTAGCCGCTCTGAAAATTAGCCGAAGCTCCAGAACGTATCTGAGGACTTAGACACCAAAGCAACTCTCTCTGTTTGTTGTGCCTGCGCTAATTTTTAATTTTTTTTCTAATTTGCACCTTCCTAAAAAGGTGAACTGAAATCTGACCTGCAAAAAGTTCAGATTTCAGTTCACTTGCCTTGTTTATCCTGTATCAGTATCAAAAGTGTTTCTTTCCCAAGTCGCTAGTGCTTGTTTGTGCCATTTTTAGCCGCAGCGTGCTATGCTGTATCAGCGTTTCTGATTAAATTTGTCTTGTGCAATTCATTGGAAAATTGCTCATTTGGACTCTATGGTAAAAAAAAAAAAAAAAAAAAAAGCATTGTGACTTCCTTCCCCTTATTTCTTTTTCTTATTTAAGCTGTTTATAATTGATAACATATGAAGAGATTTGTCTTTGAGACCTGATTTTGAAATCAACACAATGCAAATTTATGCAGAGCCGATCTGCTGCCTGCCTGCTTCACAAATGACAGAAAATAAACGAGAGCTCCGACAAAAACAGACTCCAGAGCCTCGCTTCGATCCATTCAGCTGGCGGCCGGCGGGCCATTCACGTTTTCTGGAGCGGGAGGGAAGGAATTCGAGGCAGAGCTTGGTACTCTCCCAGCCTGTGTGTGTGTGTGTGTGCGTGTGCGTGTGCGTGTGTGTGTGTGTGTGTGTGTGTGTGTGAGAGAGAAGAGAGAGAGTGTGTGGCTTTGTTCCAAAGCGATGTGAAGAAAGAAGAAATGAATTAAGAGAGGAGGGGAAGGGAAGGAGGGCGGCGGTTTTTTGGTGAAGGTCAGCAGGTTAAGCCGACGGGGATTCTTGTAGATGGGGCCCCGCAGAAAGAGATGGTAACACTCCAAGCTGTGAATCACCGAAAAGGCATCCGTCTGTGTGTGTGTGTGTGTGTGTGTGTGTGTGTGTGTTTACGATGACGTCATTCCATTAGTCCCCTTGGCTGACAGGCGCTGACAGACGGAGGTTGTGGAGGAGCAGTGTTTTCATTTCAGCCGGCAGATTGATGCACTGCAGCGGAGAAGGAGGAGAAGGAGGAGAGGAGGGGGGCAGAGCCGCGCTCTGATTGGCAGGTGCCACGCTGTTCGCTGAGCACTGGGTGGGAACTGGATCAGATGCTGTTGACGGTCGGCGTGCTGTTCAGAAGCTGCAGTGACGTGAACGGGACATGGAGCTCCCGCACGCCCGGTCAGACACTGGTGCCGTTTCTTCCCGTCAACAAGAGTCCATCGTGTCGCGCCGTCGCTTTCCTCCTCCACTCAACCTTCAGGGGTTAATTGAAGGGACCCGCAGTAGGCGACGAGGAGATGAGTTTTAACCGTCAACATGGGTCAGAGCCCACCGTTTTAATGGCTGCAGGAGCCGGACGTAGCTTCACCACACTAATGGATTTGTCTCAGACGCACCTCTGCATTCTTAACAATGTTTTTGGAGAATGACACGTGATGCAGGCCTTCAGATGACACACACCGCTCACACTAGCTGAGACACTGACAACGTCTGAGCGAATGGTGATACTTGGTGATACTTGCACATGCGTGCCGCCTTTCATAAAAGAAAGTTGTTGGGTTTTTTTAAATTGGAAGCTAGGATAAAAAGTCAGCCATGTTTTTCGATTTACCTGAAGCTCACAGTAAATAGTTCAGCAAACATCTGGTGACTTTCACTGCAGGTGTCCAACTCAGTTTGGTTTTGGGTCAAATCAAGATCATGAGTTCCATTAAAGGGCCGGTGGTGCCAGAACATATTGATAAAACCTGATCACTAACTGGTGAAATATCAATGAATTCTTAAAATTAAATATTATTGAACATCTCTTCAGTCCCTCCAGGATTTCATGATACTTTTTGCAATTTATTTATTATTTTTTTGTAAGAAAATTCAAAGTGTTAGTGGTAATAATTTGGAAATATTTGCGGTATTTGCGCTTATTTATGACGGTAAATGCAACTTTTTATTACTCACTGGACTATAATCTAATTTTAATCTAGATTTCTGACTGAAATCAGATCCAAACTCCCAATTATGCATTGGTGCAAAAAATACTGCAGGGATTTGTTGCATTTTTATCAATTTCCACGATAATTCTCAAGACAGTTCAGGGAACATTTGCTATAATTCACAGTAAACAGATAAAAACTGCTTTTCTTATAGAAAACATTTAAGCACACTTAATGTTTAGTCTAGACTCTGGAGGGCCACGTAAAAAGCTACAGTGTGCCAGGTTTGGCCCCCGGGCCTCGAGTTTTGACACCTGTGCTCTAGAGCAAACCTTTGAAGTAAACTCGGCTGAATAAAATAATTGTTTCTGAAGAAAGGCAAAGAAATCCAAAGATACGGCAAACATTCGTTTTGAAATGTAATATTAGTGTTAGTGTTGGTCTCTATGTTTCGAATTGGAAGCACAAAAACGTTCCCAGAAGTTCCTGCTTGCTAATGGATCTTTAGCCGGTCTCTAAAAGCATCAGGAATTGCATTTAAAATATGAAATTACAATCCTTACCACAAAATGTCAATGAGAATATGCTTTATACCAAGACGGCCGGATATTCCCAGGTCATGGACATATTCGTCCAGCTCATTAGTTTGGAATCTGCGCTATTGAGTTTGGTATTTTTCCTCATTGGCAACAATTTATGCAGATGCTAATCGCCTTGAATTTAATCATGTCCCCGGCTGCAAGGAGGGTTGATGAATTCCTCGGACTGTGATACAAAAGAGACCAATGTGAGCTGTTTATGTGCTCCGCAAATTAAAATCTGAACTTTTCATGCCCAGAAGAAGATTTTGTTCCATTCAAAGGTACATTTAAAGTTTAAGCAGACTTTCACAAAGCAGAGACTCTGACAATCTGGCTGGACAGTTAGGCTGTTCTGCTGAGCTTTAATTAAAACTGAAGAAAGAGAATAAGAGTGATATAACTGCAAGACACTGGAGGGGAAAAAAAAAAGTTAAATACCTCAAAGCTGCACACACAGAATGTGTTAAGAGGTTCATTTATTTGTGTTTTTATTGAAAAGCATTTATTCTGTGCTTGAAGTTGACCCGTCACTGCCAGGCGTCATTAACTTTGAAAATTGTCTTTGACTATTTGAGAGAGTTATCTGCTTAGGTAAGACGTATAGGGAGGATGAGTTTTGTCGGCAAGCCGGGTAACGACGTGTGAAAATCCTCAAAATGCACACGTTTTATTTTTATGGCATAATCTCACACAGAAAAATGTAGGAAAATGCAACTTTTAATTTGAGAGGAGACAGGAGCTCATGCCATATCGCCACAACATAGTGACAATTTCAACAAATATTTAAACGGCATATTTTATTTTTGCACAAGTCACTCACCCCATCTTTAGTGATTAGTGGATTCTACATTTGACTCTGAGGTCCAGTTCTGGACCGTGTTTGTCTTGGCACCGCATGAACAGGGTGGATGGAGAGGTGAAGCAAACTTTTGCAGAAATGAAACAAAGTGTGTCATGTTGGGCTGACCAAGTCTCCAAAACAACCTTTAATACTCACCTGAATGCTAACTGGCTACTTAGCAACAAATGCCAGTAAAAAGCTGCATGTTGAAATGTGAACAAGTGGAGTTGCTAAGCTATGCCAGCACTTGGGTTAAATTACACCAAGATTTAGTGCTGGACTCATAATTGTGATACAAACGGCGAGATGATAATCATCATAATAATAATAGTCGATAAAGCTGCACTTTAAAAGTTTAAAGTGTCCGGGCGAAATGAGGCCAGCGACACACACACACAACGTGGGCCCTATGGCTCCTGCACATCAGTGTGTTTGCATCAGTGTGTTTGCACTGCATCTGCCGCCGCCCGCATCCCTAATTCAGCCCAGCACCCACTGTAACGATCAACAGGGAAATAATTGGCTCGTCGAGGCTGACGGTGGAAGAGGGCAGAGGAGGTGAGTGCTGCGAACTTTTTCCAGAAAGAGCAGAAGAAAAGGGGCGAAGAAGAAGGAAGCCATTTTCATGCGAAAGCCGTCCTCAGCCCTTCAGCTGCCTGGTTGCGCGCCTCGCCCTCGCGCCTCAAACGGGCCCTTTGCTGGCAAGCCAATGGCAACGTGTCCACAATAAACAAACAGCACGGAGGTTGGAGTCCTTTCAAGGCGTCGTCTTCAGCCTTCCCGAGGCGCTGGGCGAAAGTTGGCCGTTGCGTAACTTTCCGAAGCGCCTCGGGGAAGTCCGCGCGCCGCTTCTCGGTCCACGCGTGCCGCTTCTCGGCCTCTTTGTCACCTCTTTGTCAATCTTGTGTTTGTTTCCTAGGCGACGGAGTGGGCACCGGATGAGGAAACCAGGAAGTCGTGTCAGAGCAAAGGCAAAACAGAGGTAACCTCAATCACGGCCCCAATTACAGCGCTCCGTGTCAGCGCCATTTTTCGATATCTGCTGCCTCGGTGCTTGTTAGTCTCTCGGGAGGTTCCTTGGCAGAGAAGCGCCATTTCAACACCTTCAATCAAAAGTTGTTTTTCTCCACTTTACAGGAGAGAGAACTCAGACGGGAAGGGGAGGGAAATGTCTGAAAAAGCGCCGCGGGGACATGTTGGGACACTTAGAAAGGACGTCCTTTGTAAAACGCCTGAGAGCAGCTGCTGAGTTCAGTTGCTCCCTTCGCATTGTTTTCTAGGAACTGATTGCAAAATCATAGGCATCTCCCACTGAGCCCGTAAGGTGAAGATTAAAACCAGATGCACAAAACTATTTTCTTTGCTCAATTACCTCACTTCTCTGCAGAGCAAGGCCTATAAATCAATGCCTCACTTTTGTTGGAAAAGAATTGGATTCTTTGTGCCGAAAAACATGCAGTTGACTTTCAGTCTTTGTCGATGCCACAAATAATCACCCAATTTCTTCCGAACTAGCATCCATATTTCTCAACAATGGACCCGATGCACAAGCTGCAAACGCCACGTTCCAATTTTGCACCAGGAAACTCGCTCCATTGTTCTCCTTAGCAACACGTCCAATAGCGTTGAGCGAACCGATACAGATTTCACCGGCTGTTACCTTTTGTAGACGTTCGTTTTCATCTCTCTCTTTTTTCTTTTTCTCAGATGGAATGCCAGAATTACATCAGAGTCCTGCTGGTGAACAAGACAGAGGTCATGACCTGCGGGACTAATGCTTTCCAGCCGCTATGCATCAGCAGAGAGGTAGGGCGAGGAAACAGCTCTGTATGAAGTCGGTGACGTCACTTCCTGCTCCCCGCTGTTCTCACTCGGCTCGCTCCTCGGTCTTGTGTTTCTCTTCCAGGTGGGCAACATCAGCAGAGTGCTGGAGCGCGTGAACGGCGTGGCGCGCTGCCCGTACGACCCTCGCCACAACTCTACGGCGGTGGTGACAGAGAGCGGGGAGCTCTACGCCGCCACCGTCATCGATTTCTCGGGTCGCGACCCCGTCATCTACAGGAGCCTGGGCGGCATGCCGCCGCTGCGCACCGCCCAGTACAACTCCAAGTGGCTCAACGGTACGAACTGCACAACACTAAGAATTCATATACCTTAAATATCAAACTGCGAAGATTTTTTGTTTTGTTTGTTTTAACGTAAGAAAACATACATGAAAAAACTTACATGAACACAAAGATTAAATAAAATACCATAAAACTAGTACAGAAAGTCACACAAATTCTTGACTATTTACTACACTTATTTTTTTTTTCTATTTAATCTAAACAACAAACTTTAATATGTTTTATTTGGGTCAGAAATGTGAAGTGACCGGAAACGGGTTCATTGTTTTTAGCATCTTCCCTCCCCCCCACTCTGACAACCCTAAATGCAAACCAGTTCAACAATGTCTCCTTATTTTGTAAAAAGAGTCTAAACAAGGTCACCCAGACCCGCAAAACACACCAGCAAGGACATCCCAATAAACTAGAATATTATTGAAAAGTTCATTTTCACTCAATTCCCTAAGTGAAAAAAAACACACAAAAAAACAGCTGCTCCGGTGGTGTTTTCTCTGTCAGTATTTCAGTGATTGTCTTTTACACCCCGAGAGAAATGTAATCTCCACAGACATATCATCTGATCGTCTCTAAAGCCTGCTGGATTCCCCCAGTAATCCGCACAAGTTGTTTCAACAAACCTCTGAAAATTCCTGCCGTTCCTTCAAACATTTTCACTGGCCTCTTCGGCGTGGCGGACGAGGCCAAGTCCGCATTTTTGCTTCCAAAACAATTGTGTCTCGTAGCGGAGGCGGACCTGTCCGGCAGCGGTGTTTGCAAAAGGATTAGAGAGACTGTTTCAGTGCAGAGCTGCATGTGGAACCCGGCTCAGGTTGGGTTCGGGACTCAGCGGGATCTATGAAATGGAAGAAACATGGAATGCTGTCTGTCCTGCAGGGGTTAGTGTCAATAATCTCTCTGCTGCTGACACTGGGTCTTGTCCTGGGACAACACGCGCCAGCAGAAATTTTTGCTCACGCATGTCCTGGATTCAGCAGAAATGTAGATGTGAGTCAGATTCCTGTCCAGTTTTCCTTCATATGTTCTGCAGTAACACAAAGATACTTGTACAGTAAGTGTGCAGGTAGATTGCCTGTTTCAAGGATTAAAACTCACATTGGTTGTTGTTCAGCAACGACACTACATTGTTAATAAAGTTGATAAAATAGATGATCATGTTAGAGCATCAGCTTGCATGAAATTGGCAGAAGTTTTTAAAAACCTCTGGCCGTTTAACCAGCTGTTTCACAGAAATCTACGAACATGGACGCTGCCGGCTGCAAAAATGTTTTCAAACTGCTCTGTTTTCGTAAAAAAAAAAACAAAACAAAAAACAAAACAAAAAAAACGAGTTAATTTAGCTACAAATATGATTGGATGCTCTTATTTGTTGGTTTATGTGAGTTTATTCGCTTTGTTTTTCACAATTCAGGACCATGGAGAGCACATTGTCAGTCAGTCATATAGTCTGATGAAAATGGATATGAAGGTTGGGGCTGATGCTGGTGCATGAAGGTTTTTGGCCTTCATAGCTTCTCTGACTCAGCGACAGGATACGCTTCACGTGGTTCAGGCAGAAAAAGAAGCCAAAGAAACGACAGCGAGTATCACATCAGCAGAGTTTAAAGACCTGAACCAGTTCTAGTGTGGTTTGGGTTGAACCACTGGAAATATATCTTCCACAGCCTGTATAGTCCGTGAACAGAGGAGGATTTAGTAGTTAATCCCTAATGCATAAGTCAGTTTAAAAAAATACTTTTTCTCACTCGAGTTTTAAACTGTGAGAGCAAATCATGACTCTTAAAACTCGTGACCCTCCTGACACAAAGCTTGGCTTTCCACTTCCTTCGCTGTCCTGTGGAAAAAGTGAAGCTTCACAGTAGATGGAGTCCAACTAAAGATGGATGACAGGCGAGGCTGTGAGTTTGTGCGCTTATCACAGAGAATGGATGGCGGCGCTGGATGCAGAAACAACAGACGATATAATTATTCTTCATCCCACAGAGAGGGTGAAATTACAGCAGGCGTCTCACCACGCAGGTGAGAGTTTGTCACTGAGTATTTAGACAGTAATCAGGCGGCGTGTGGGTAGCAGCTGCGCGCATGTGGTTTTAAAACCGCACGCATGAGCGGAAAGGGAGTGCGTGAGATGATTCGCGATGGAGGAAGATGAGTAACAAAGTAGATAACGTCCCGATCAGCGTAACCGCAGCTGGATGGGCAGACAGTTAGACTCACATGTTGGCCTCCATCCGAGCGCGCACAACCTGCTTTTCTAAACATTATATATTTTTTATTTTTTTGCTTTGGTGGCGTCTGTGAGGCGATACGGTGTTCCCGGTGGATTTCAGGGTGTGAATGAAAATCTCATTTCCAGCTCTAAGCTCTCGCTGGTTCAGGAAAACCGCAGGGGCCGGCGGGTAGAGGAGGTCTGTGGGGGGGGGTCCTAGATCTAATCTATTCCTTCCCTTATTGGATTGGTCGTCTGCCAGGTGCTGACCGACTGTTTTCTGTCGTACATCTGAATGTCACAAAGAACTTTGGGGCCTGCCGTTGAATGCAATGTACATTGTTATGTGTAACACTTGAAAAGATGCATAATTCAATTGCAGGGCCTGTAAATATGAATTTATTGAATTTAATCAAAAACCATGCATTGACAAAATAACCATTTCTTGCTACTACATTACTAAATAAACAGACATATCAGCACAAAAACAAATATGCTTTTTAACTGTTGTTCAGGTTATTCAACCTCCAGATCAGCAGAAAATGCTGATGTGAAGCTGAATTCAATTAAAAGCTGAACACAGTTCATCTTTTAATTTAAAAACAGTTCAGCTTTTAATAGTTCATGAAACTTTGAGAAAATACTTGTTGGTAAATGCGACTGTGGACACTGATGTTAGCGTTGGGGACGTCTGTCCAACATGTTTAGCATTCAGACGCTCCTTCAGTCTCGATTAGTGATGGTTATTGTGAAAACAACAGCAGTGTTTTTCAGTGACCCATCAGATTGTTTGCTTTTTTTTTTTTTCAACAAAAATCAACCCTTGTTATGTGAAGAGAAGCATTTTTTTTTTCATCCATCGTTGCTGTTGATGTCGTTTGTGTGTCAGGGTTACGGCCGTACCAGAAACGCGTAAAAGCAAAGGTTCCAGCTCTGGACGTTTGCATGTAAAAATGAAATACAGTTAATTGCGTCACAGTGTTTTTTTTTTAAACATTAAAGTCAGCGCAATAAAATAATTAACACTTTAAAACAACCATAAAAATAAAGTAAGACTTTACTGCAACAGCATTTACTAAAATGTGGGGGGATATAACTTTCCTTGTGACAAAAATTATTGCTTTTGACAAAAATCGCAATTCTTTGCTCCTCATATTTTATGTGCTGCCCACTTTAGCTTTCCGGACAGCCCCAAGTTTTCTTTTCAAATATTTGGTAAATCTACTTACAGTTTCAAGCACACAGCATGCCAAGGTGAGCCAGCATTCATCAGTCCAGACAGCATAGCTGCATATTAGACCTTCATTACCTGCTGATTGAATATTTTTTAATTAAAATTAAAGTTTGGGTTTTTCCTGAAGGCATGTAAGCGTCTGAAAGTCCTGAGGCTTCAAGTATGATGAAATATTGATTTACGATGCAGTTACTCCCACTCAGCTTTCTCGGAAGTGTCGCTGACGCATAAAGTTTGCCTAATAGAAAAACAAAACATGTTGAGAACTTCTCTCATTTGTACAGTAGGTGAATATATAGAGAGAAGAGGAGATCTTGCATCCTCAAAACTGAACTTTCTTTGTTTTGGAAGCAAAATGCTGACAGGTTTGTCTTTTCCGCTCTCCGTTCAGAACCTTCTGCCTCACAGGCTTGAATCTCACGTTTCCTCTTTTTTTATTTTACTTTCTGCAGCGCTGCGCACAAGGACAATAAAGCTCAATAACTGAGCAGCCCTCTGTGAAGGTGGCGATAAATCCCCTCTGCCGCCAGACCTCCAGTAACTGTTGCCAAGATATTATTTAATTACACAGAACTGACACGTTATTGCGTATAAATTTCACCAACTGCAATTTTATAAGGTTTGCTGTAATTTTTTAAGTGTATCCATCCATTTGGGGTGGTAATATCCTCCGAGATCAACGGGGGAGGGACGATGTGTATATACTGGATGGCCAATCCATTGCAGTGGAATATAGACATAAATATGACAAATAATGCTGCACGCACAAACTGCCATCCTAAGGGGAATTTAGAGGGACTGATTTACCTGAGATCCCTGTTGTTGGATGGTGAGAGGAAGCCAGAACACACTATTATAAGGAGAGAAGATTCAAAGTACTCCTAGAAATCCCGGTGGAGATTTATTGCTGTCAACTGTACTGCCATGCAGTTCTGGAGGATTTTTACATGCTTGCTTTTGAGATAAAAATGATCAGACTACCATGCAAATTTCATTATGTTTTGTTTTTTTCCTGACATGCAGTTTGATTTCGGGGACAAATTTCACGCTCAATGCACTTCGCATATAAAGCCAGACAAATGTGGATCATTGCTTTTGTTGCAGCAACGCTTGTTGGCAACAAATTTGAAAACTTATTTATTTCCTTCAAACTAAAGAAAGGAAATATTTATTTCCATTAGCACATTAGGCGATGTGAATCCTCCATTGTCCTTTCAGACCAGAGCATTCAACTTAGTTCAAAGAAGCTAAGTAAAAAATTTTGGCCCAATGTTTGGGTTAAAAACATCCAACTTCTTTCCCAGTAGCATTTGGGTTAAAGCTGCAATATGTAACTTTTATAAAATATGTTCTTTACATGTTTGTTAAATATTATGCTTTGACAGCATAATATTAGACAGCTAGTCTGTGAAAGGATTAAGCTCCTCCCTGAGCTACTATTGTCCCACAGTTCTCTCTCGGTCAAAAACAGCCAATCAGAGGTGGGAGGAGAGTCTTACCGCTGTCACTCAAGCTCGTGTACATGCTGATAAATTTGCTATTGCTGGCAAAGCAACTTACCATTTCAGAAAAAAACATTTACCCACAGGGAAGTAGCTGCAGCGAAGCAGAGAGCAAAGGGGAAGTGGTTTGGAGGATTGTGTATACAAGCATGATTGACAGTACTAAGACCCACCTCTTGACTCTGATTGGTTGTTTCTTCTTAACACTGGCAGCACTCGAGATAATCTGTGTTATGCTGTACTGTCGCATCATTTATTTAAAAAAAAAAAAACTTTTTATAAAAAATTTTAATACTTTTTTGTTGGGTTATCGTGCGTATTCCTTTTGCCCTCTTAAGCCAGAAAGCATTACTCGTCTGTCAAATATGAATGGATTATGCTGTATTCTTTCAACATTTTCCACATTTGACTGTTAAGTCGCCTTTGATTTAGTGCTGCTGCGTCTGATTGGCAACATTATCTGACGTTGCTTCCCCAGCGCTTCACCGGTCAGGCAGGAAAAATGGGTTCACGGCTTGGCGGGAAGCGCCTATGCACCAGAACATGTCATCTTTTTCCTCTCTTTGCCTGACGTAAATATTGTGTGCATAAACACACAAAGCTCTTAGTCAGGCAGGTTATTGCTGAATGATTTACTTTGCTGAGCTAATAGACACATAAGAGGAAAGCAGTGTTAAAGCTAGCCTTTAGCCTCAGGGAAGGAAAAACTGATGCTTCTTGTTGATCTAATTGTTGCAGTGACTACATGTCGACACTAATTAACCCTCTGTAAATTACAATAGTCTCAATTAACTTGTTTTTATTGTTGGTATTGTTATTAAGTGACGCCTTTGACTGCTTTGTCTAAGAATGATAGATGCACTCAGTCTGTTCTGCTTTCAGTGCGATGTTTCCTCGTCGTTATTTAGAAAACAAACTGATTAGGACGTTCACTTGATTAAACCTAAACAGGATAAGTTGATTAGATTACCTGCTAAATTAGCCGACGCTGCTTAAAGACCCCCGCGCCATGTTTCTGCAGAGTAATCAAAGAGGGAGAGAGAATTATAAAACTTCATTACAGCTTTTAAAACATTTTTTAAAAATGCATCCCTTCTGCAGCTGATTACCTCTTTGTTCTTTTGTTTTATGTCCTGCATTACATCTTAATGGTTAACACGCTCTGAGTGTGTGTGTGTGTGTGTGTGTGTGTGTGTGTGTGTGTGTGTGTGTGTGTGTGTGTGTGTGTGTGTGTGTGTGTGTGTGTGGGGTGTGTGTGTGTGTGTGTGCATGTGTGTTTATGTTTTTAAGTGACTGTTGCAAAATTATTTATGTGCATGCATACGTGTGAAAATTAAGGTTTTCATAATTTTGCTGTCGCTGCTCTGCAGTGGTGGAGAAAATACTCAAAAATGTACTTAAAAGTACAAATACACACAAAAATGTACTCTAGTAAAACTCAAAGGACCACATTAACAATTTTACTTGAGTAAAAGTAAAGAAGTACTGGCTTTTAAAAATACTTAAGTATTAAAAGTAAAAGTACTTGCTGAATGCATTACCTAATTGCTAATACAATAGCATTAAGTGTACCTATCATATATAATTTTAATACATCAGTAATGTGCCATTATAATGAACAATACCACAGATAAAGCATGTTTTTATCATGTTTACTCTCTGTAACATAACTTAGACTTAGACGTGATTCTATGCATCATAATTTCAGGGATGGTGACATTATGATGAATCATCATAATATGATGCAGCTTCACATCGTTCTCTTGGTTCTGGATTCTCTCATGGATTTGTTGTCGACTGACCTGTAAAATCAAATTGTCTCTAAAAGTTCTAGTTTCCATGAGTAAAAAAAAAAAAACTTTTCTTTTTAGCAAGGTTAAAATCTTAAGCCTTGAGGAGGCTCGTTGGGTTTCCGGGTTTCACAGAAATGCTGTGAGGTCCAGAAAGAGGATTTAACTGGAAGTGCAGTTGTTCTGAAGTTCCTGATAAATGTTTCTCACAAAAAGTCTCCAGAGTCCCTGGACAGAAACTCTGACATATGTCCACCAGTAGACATAATAATGAAATTAATAATTCATCATTAATTTTTAAAAATTTGTGCCAGAAACCGATATAATGGCTGAAGCTGTTTAATTCCTTTTCAAACTATTACTTAATTTCTCCTCATCCTTGTTTTGCAGTCTCTTACCTGGCAACCCGTCCAGCAGGCGGACGTTAATCATCCCTGCGCCATCCAGGGGCAATAAAAGCACCACAGGCAGCCAGTTTTAATGGATTTAGCATCAAAACAGATTTATGTGAAACTATGTTTATATCTTCCACTCTCCTTCGCTCTCTGCAGCATCTTCTCTTACTTACTCATTTGCGATGGAGGTTCCTCTTTTCAAAACCAGCCTAAGCAGGATTGCGCCCGTAGAAATTTCAAGTCCTTGTTGCAATCAGAAATGTGAACAAAGGTCAAAGCAATAGCGTCCAGAAGATGAATGTTGCAAACCTCTTTTATTATTTTTTTTTTTTTGCCTTTTCTCCCCCAGTCTCTAGATCCACATAATGATCTTCCTGTCCCTCGTGTCTCACCCTTCCCCACTGCAGAGCCCCACTTCATCTCCGCCTATGACGTCGGCCTCTTCACCTTCTTCTTCCTGAGGGAGAACGCGGTGGAGCACGACTGTGGCAAGACGGTGTACTCCCGCGTGGCCCGGGTGTGCAAGAACGACATCGGCGGGCGCTTCCTCCTGGAGGACACCTGGACCACCTTCATGAAGGCGCGGCTCAACTGCTCCCGGTCCGGAGAGATCCCATTCTACTACAACGAGCTGCAGAGCACCTTCTACCTCCCCGAGCAGGACATCATCTACGGCATCTTCACCACCAATGTGTGAGTGGATTTCGACGTATGTCACACGCATTCGTCGCACTGGTCTGAGGGTTTTTTTCAACTGTTTTAGGGTTGAATCCAAAAATCACATTGGCTTTGCTCAAAACGGGTTGACTGAAGAGAGATATCCCTGCTGCTGAACATATGAGCCGTTCGAAGAAACAGAAGTTCATGCCCTGAATTTTGCACAATGAAGATTCAAATTTCAGTTTCTAAGTACTTACCCTTATCAGTTTTTATTACTCAATTTGCAGAAATCTAATTTTGTGTCATTTAAATAATACTTTCTGTTAGAAAACAATTTCTTTTCCCCTCCTAAAGCCTTTTTTGGATGAGAAATGTTATCAGAGATGAACTGATGAAGTCACAAAAATATAATCAATTTAGTCGAAAGATCAGATTTCTCTAAATTAAATTGGAATAGAAAACTTGAGCTGACCAAGAAAAGTGGGCGTCATTTTTGGATTCGGTGGTACAAAATAGCCATAATTCACTTGAAAAAAAATATGGACCACTTCCAGTCAGTAAATCAAATTTTATTTGTACAGCACATTTCAGGATCAAGGCATTCACTTCATAAAAACACACAAATCAACAATCGAAACAATCCATTTTTCCAAGTGTCATTTACACATCAAAATGTTGGTTTATTATTCTTCCATGTTGTCCACTCTTCAGTGTCATCTATAATTAACATCATTTTAAATGATTTAGAAATCACATTTGCTTCCTTTAAAATTCATCAACTCTTTGCATATGCAGGACTAATTCTAAACGTCATGATCGACCCCACTTCATGTTTTGGTTCTCAGCTGCATCTTAAGCTCATCTCTTCAATCTCTGCATCATTCAGTGTTACTCCAGAAACTAAGAAGTCCGGCAGGTTCGTCTGGATTGGTTTGTTTAGTACTTAAGAACTATTTGTGTTTGAATAAGCAAAATGTGGCTAAAATTTCAAGAGGGGAGTTCCAAAAGGTTTTCTTCTCGGCCCTATTTTTTGTGCTTTAGTTACTTACTTCAGATCTTTTGTATTTCGCTCTTTGGTTTCGTTCTGCTTTTAAGCACTTTTAAGACTTCAGCTGGATGTCCGAGTTTGAAAAGGATCGAATCCTGGGTGTCGGATCGTTTTGTTCTGTTGAATAAGCACAAAGAGGTTCAGGTCAGTCAAGAGCTCCCATCACCTTTTTGTGTGTTTCTTCCTGCTTGGAACAGAAATCTGTTTCACGATCCAGTTTGGACTTTTAAAGTACTGGATCTTTTTCTTACCTACTCAGACGTTCACCAAAATGATTGCATTCAAGTTTTTCTGCACACCTTGTTGTGCTTGTACTCTGCTGCAGAAAGCTTCAGCCAGACAGAGCTGGCTAAAGCTCTTCCAGATGGCCGCGGTCTTCGCCAGGCCTCCAAACTGCAGGTACAGGTTCAGACTCTGTTTTGCCTCCTGGTGACGGAAGAAAAAACAAAAAAAGATATAAAATAAGAGCTGCTTAGGTGGACAAGCCAGGTAGTTTAAATTGATAACAGAGACCAAATGTAACATAACATCAAATCACTGTTTTCAGAGAAGTATGGAAATGAAGAAAAGTCAGGGAATTGTTAGTCCATTATTTCAGCTCCGATTGTTCAATAGCAGTACTGTGAACATGAATTAAACATTTTGTTTCGTCTGTTTGCTTCAGTTGAAGTCTGCCGCTGCTCCTAGTGCGGATACGTGGCAACGGCTCTCATTTGTTTTCAATTTCATACGCTGATGCGTTCATGGAGCTGTCCGTGGTCCTGAAGGCGCCGGTGGAGCTGTAATTCTGCTCTTCTCCTGTTATTACACCTCAGCCAGTTTTGCCGTGACACTCTCCTGCCTGCGCACTATTCAAACCGTATTCAAACCATATTCGGACCGGCCCGCTGTGTAGCTTAGTTCCGTCTCTCTGGACAGAATAACAAGCGGGAGTTATTTGTAGAAACACAGCCGCTCGCGACCGTGAAATATTGATTCCTTAAAGATTTCCGTGATAACCCGGTTGCGCCAAAATGCATCTTTTCTGAAATGTGTTATTGGAAACGTGACCACATTGACAGATGTTTAGTGTTAGCTGAGATTGGAGCATAAAGTGCCACTGAGGGGAAAAATAAAAGCACTGAGGACGCCTGCTGCTCCTGCACATACTGATGCACGGTTAAAACTGAGTTATGCCTGAAATCCCACCTCTGATACGGAGTGGAAATTTCAGGCTCAGACAAAATACGCATTCGGCTTTACAACAGGTTCATTAGGATTTATTACGATCTCACTGGAAGCAGAGGGAGAGGCGTGTTTAATGTGACGCACGCCTTTGCAGACATGCGTTTGTTTGTTTCTTTTCCTGCAAACGAGGGCAGGAAATGTAAACAAATATTTTAGTAATCGAGTGATCTAGTGATTATTCTTGCAATTAATTGAGTAATCAGATAAAAAGTTGTAAAATAAAATATTGGTTAATCTGGCATGACACTGATGTTACTATCAGACATCAATATCAGTCCAGTTCTTAATTTGTGAGCATCCAGTTATTCAACAAAAAACTAAAAAACTCAGAACTTTAAAAGAAATCTGAATGGAGCTTCTCATTAATCAGATCATGCAGATTCTCAGGCATTGAGAAAATGGATACTAAAGAATGAAAACTGAACCGTGAAGCGGCGCCACAGTCACAACACGCTCCCTCCGAGGTCAGGCTTTACGATCTTCACTGTTTGACATGTTAACAAACAGTGTTGTCATGTCTTTTAGTGAATTTGAGGCTCTCATGTCTGAACACACTTGCACACGCCCACACACACACTCCCTCATTTTGTGCACTTGCATTCCTCTGTGTGCTCTGCAGCACACAGAGGAAACCAATTTAATGAGAATTTTGTAATAACAAGATGTCAGTTTGTGGGATTTAACGGCGCTACGTATCCCCAGACAGTTCATTATAATCTGCCAGGCCTCACACTAATTATTAGTCATGTTGCTTCCTTACTTGGAGCTTCTTTCCAAATCTGTTACCTTGATTGTAAGCCCCCTGTGGGCAATAATTTGCTATAAACTTTATTACTATTATTTGTTATTTATTTTTATCCGCAACAAGATTTGCTCTTTTCCCTTGAACCATATATTAATCACGTAAACATGAGTAGAAGCAGCAACCAGGTCAATAGTCTGTTTTTATTAACTTGTGAAAATAATCCTTGAGTGTTTATGGAATACCTCAAAAGAAACATAAATACTTTTTAACATTTATGTAAAAAATAAAATAAAATACCTAAATCTCATGAACGTCCAGGGATATTTTTACTTAAATTTGCTGCAAGCTTAATGCGAGACGCTTTATAATGCTATTGTAGGTTACATATTATGAAACAAAGAAAATTTTTAAGAAAGTAAAAGTTAAGACTAATATGTTGCTTATTCATTTGAAATTTCCCACTGAGCATTTCGCCTGCAGGAAACTCACACAAACTCAAACAAGCCGCCGCACTGCGACGTCTTTTCGTCGGCCTTTCACGTTTTGCATCTGCAGTTGGCCCAGTGTTTTTCTTTTCCCCACCTATGCACAGCAGAACTCGCAGAGAGAAATCCTCAGCGTTTTCAGCCTCCCAGCTGTTTGCATCGATCAGCGCGGCTCCGAGTCGAGCCGCAGGCCGAGCAACAGCTGGTGGCGTCGCACACTTCGTCACAAACAGGAAGCGCCCACATCCAAAGTTTGAACGCCGCAGACGTCTCCTCTGCATTTTGAATTTAGTTCAAACTCAAAATGATGGGATGTTCTTTTTGTCAAGAGGAATTTTTTTTTTTGTCTAAATCATCCTTTGGGAAGAAAGAGTTTTCATCACAAGGGTCCCACACAGATCTCCTCCATAACTCAGTTTTTCGGTGTTCATTCACATTTCCTTTGCTTGCATACGAGCCTCAGCAGTGGATCTCTGCCTCTATGTGCTGTTCAATATATATATATGTATATATATACAATTTTTCAAAATACCTTTAATCAAAAGAAAATGCAGTTTAGGGAGCTGAAACACCTCGGTGCAACTCTACTCCATAAATTATTTGCTACTGTTCGCAATGAGGTCAGAAGAAGTGCTGTTAAATCCTCTGGGTGCTGATTGGCTGTACATCACAGGCGTTTTACATCACAGCTTTATGGTGTCGAACATCCATCACTGCCAAATGTCAGCAACATTTAAAATTCCAACGCAGTCCAAGTGCTTCCTCGCTGCTCGCTGTATGTTTTTTTGCAACACCATCTGCACTTTACCTGGAAAAGCCGTCTGTTTGCTCACATTTTGTGATTGTTGTCGCACTTAAGTTTGAGAAATTTTTATATGAAACAAAGATCTCCACAGTAATTGCCAAAATAGCAATGAAAAGAAAAAAAAGGTAGTTTGATTATATTGGTAATCTCAAGTGCAACATTGAAAAAAGCGATAAAGAACTTAATCAACTCATCATCTGAAAACTGCATCTTGTGTGGCTCAAATTATCTTCATCTGATTTTTAAAATGACTTTGTTGATCAATTTCGTCCAAGAAAACTGCTGATCCATTCCAAATGAAAGGGATTTTGGTTATGTTAACTTTGATTTGACGCATTCTCAATCTGCCACATAAGTTTAACTCTCTGGAAAAGAAAAACAACACAAACATTCTTGCAAACTGCTAACCTTACAGATTCAGCGTGTGTGTGTGAGGACGTCTCGTGTTTGGTATTCTAGCGTGTGCTGCTCTCTGTCAGGGGAGAAGCTGAATTGTGTCTTAAACCTTCTGCTCCCTCACCTGTTAATCTGCCAGTCTTTGACACTGCATGGCTACCTCCTATCAGGCCGCAGCCATTTTCAGTGATAGATAGAACAAGCTAGAGGCAGCAGCTATTTGGAGAGCGAGAAACGGAGAGAAGCGCACAAAGCAGTCTGGGCGTGTAGAGAGAGAGGAGGTGGAGGAAGAGGAGCGAGATGAGAGGATGTGATGAGAAAAATCAC